CAGCTGTAAAATTATTCCAGTGATAGCTCATTATATTCTTTACAAGCGTACAAAATCATCAAGCTCGGGGTGAAGCCATTGCAATTCCAAAAAGTGCAAGAACTTACACCCCAACCGAAAGAAATTAGACTCAAAAGATCTAAGAGTTGCTTCGCTTGCTTGGTTTTCTCCGATGAGAAAACATTCGTTCACCAGCAGTTTGTAAACAAACAAAATGATCGTGTTTACTTGCCAAAGAGGTCAGTTGAAAATGTGCACTCAGCACGCGCCACCCAAGAAATGTCACAAAATGTGGTTCCTCGCATCATTTCCAGCTCACAATGGCCACCGGTCTCCGAATATCAATCCATTGGACTATTTTGTCTGGAGTATTTTGGAAAGCAAGGTTACTTACTTAGCTGGCTTGTTAAGGAACTGTTGTTCCATAAGCCGAGCTTAAAAAAATATTTCCAAGCGCGTCGGTCTTGTACGCAAGTCTACCAATTTGGAAGATCACGTTCCAAGATATTGTTTTCTACTTGGTCTTTCCATCTAATTCGTGGCCTTCCCCTTCTACGGGAACCATCAGTAGGCTCGTTTTTATATGCCTTTTGAGCTGGGGCATTTTCATTCATACGCACAACATGGCCTAGCCACCGTAGTCGCTGCAGCTCAATACGACTGACTATGTCGATGTCCGCTTATAAATTGTAAAGCACGTGGTTCATTAGACGCCGATATTCACTGTCAACGCAGATCGACCCATAGATCCTTCGGAGAATTTTTCTCTCAAACACCCCAAGAGCTGCCTTATCTGCTTGCGCAAGTACCCATGCTTCTGATCCATATGACAGCACTGGTGGTATCACCGTGTTGTAGAGTGTGAGTTTGGTCTGGCGGGAGGTGGCCTTGCTTTTGAGTTATTTGCTCAGACCATAGTAGCATCGGTTGGTCATCACTATCCTTCTCCGAATTTCAAAACTGATGTCATTCGTTTTGTTTATGGTGGTATCAAAGTATATTAAATCTTTGTCTACCTCGAAGCTGTAGTTCTCATGTTCCACAGTTGGTCCGAGTCTACTGGATCCATCCATCGCCGTTTACTGCCAGACCCACTTTGGCAGACTCCTTCTCAATTTGTTCAAAGGTGGCTGTTACCGCTCTCAGTGTTCGATCCATTATATCGGTGTCATCGGCGTAGGCGAGTAACATTTGTTTTTTAGTGTACAGAGTGCCATTTCTGTTCGTAAGACCTCATCCAGCAGGATGTTAAAAAGGTCACCCGACAAACTGTCACCTTGTCTGAATCCTCGTTCGGTATTAAAGGGCTCCGAGAGGTGATTTCCGACTTTATCTGCTGATCTTGTGTCAGTTAAAGTTATACTGCATAGCCGTATTAATTTTGCAGGAACGGATAGGGCTGTCGAATGCGGCTTTATAGTCGACGAATAGGTGGAATGTGTCGATGTGTTTTTCGTAGGGTTTTTCCCAAGATTTGGCGCAGAGTGAAAACCTGGTCAATGGTGGATTTGCCAGGTCTGAAGCCGCATTGGTATGGTCCAATAATGTCATTGACCATTGGCTTCAGACGTTCACACAATACGCTGGATAGCTCTTTATATGCGATGGGAAGGAGACTTATTCCTCTATAGTTGGCACATCTTGTCTCCTTTTTTTTGTGCACGGGACACAGGATGCTGAGGTTCTAATCATTGGGCATGCATTCATCTAGCCAAATTGTACTAATCAGCTGGTGCATGCTTCTTACCAGTTTCTGACCACCAGTCTTGAATAGTTCGGCTTGTAACCCATCGGCACCTGCTGCTTTATTATTGGTTCTGGGGTATCCTCTTCACCGCTACGATTTGATTCCAGAAGTTTTTCAAAATGCTCCTTCCACATCCTCAGTACGCTGTCTGTATCTGTCACCAGGTTTCCTTCTTCATCTCTACAGGAGGATATGCCTGCACAAAAGCCTTCGGTTTGCTGTTTTACCCGTTGGTAGAATTTTCGGACTTCATTCTGACTCCTGTACACCTCGATTTACTCACGCTCACGTTTTTCTTGATCTTCTTTCTTTTTTCTGAAAATACGTCTCTCTTCTCTCCTTTTTTCCCGATAGTTCTCCTCACATTACGTGTTGCGTTTTTCATATCAGTAGCATTACGACACTCCTGATCTTACCACAGATTTCTTGATGGTGGTCTTTGGTACCCAAGTGTTGCTTTTGCAGCCACTGTGCTTCTATGTTTTTATCGGGACAAGAGTTGCTTCTGGGTAAGTTGAGCGGGGTAGGCTTCTGCTATCTGTTGTGCTTGCAGCTTTTCGACGTTAAATTTCCGTGTTGCATTAGATCGCACCTTTGCTGCTACATTAAGACGGGTGCGTACGTTGGCGGCTACAAGATAATTGTCTGAATCGATATTCGCTCCGCGGATCGATCGGACGTCTAAAACACTAGATGCATGCCTTCCGTCTATCACAACATGATCTATTTGATTTCTCGTTGTTCGATCGGGAAAAATCCATGTGGCCTTGTGTATATCGAGATGCTTGAATCTGGTGCAGCTAAATACCTCATGCCGTCGCCGGATGTTTCTTCATGGAGGCTGAATTTTCCGTCGGTGGCGCCAAATATATTTTCCATTCCGATTTTTGCATTAAAATCTCCTAGCAGAATTTTAATGTCATGGCCAGGGCAACGGTAATATGCTGTTTCTAGGCTGTGTCCATCGCATTCCTCGAAACCAAATTGCACATAATTGGCCGTTACAATATCGGAACCATAAACACAATTTTAGCCGCTTGGCTTGCATTTTTGCCTTTGTCAAAGAAAACCTATAAAATGTACCGAATTTTCTTCTTGTTCTCAAAAAAACAGAAAATTATTTTTTTTTTATTCCGAAACGAGCATAAATCTGAAATTGTTTGATCGATACTTTACGAGAAATCTATCAATTCAGCCATCTGCCTAAAAATTAATGGATTTCTTTTTCCTTAACCTAAAAATTTTTCCTCGATTTTTTCAATACTATTTTGCAACCCTAAATGATATTATAGGAAGACTTTTCACGCTATATGTGTGGACTACCTATAGTTGGTATTTATACCCTTCACCACACTGTGTACAGGGTATTATGTCTTTGTGCAAATGTTTGTAACAGGCAAAAGGAAACGAGATAGACACATGGTTCCATTTGAGAATATGCATAGAATCACTTTTTAAGCCGATTTATGCATGTCCGTCTGTCTGTCCGTCCGTCGGTCCATGTATTTTTGTTAACAAAGTACAGGTCGCATTTGTGATCCGATTTGTGTGAAATTTGGCACCGTTCACTTAATTGGCCCAAGGACAAACCCTATTGAAATTGGGAAAAATCGGTTCAGATTTAGATATAGCTCCCATATATATTTTCGTCCGATTTTATGTAAATGGTGCATCAAAGTCCCTATATATCCTTCGATTTGCACGAAATTTGGCATAGCATTCTGAAAAATGATATTACGACGTGTGCTAAATTTCGCGAAAATCGGTTCAGATTGAGATATAGCTCCCAAATATATTTTCGATTTTAGGTAAATAGTCCACCAACGTCCCTATATATACTTCGATTTGCACGAAATTTTTAATGGGGTACTGAATTAAGTATAGAAAGATGTGTGTTAAATTTTGTGAAAATCGTTTCAGATTTAGATATAGCTCCCATATATAGTTTCGTCCGATTATATTAAATAGCCCACCAAAGTCGCTATATATCCTTCCATTTGCACGAAATTTAGATTTATAAATAAATGAAGAACTCATTCGGGCAAAAACATACTGAAATAAGTGTAACTTAACATGTGACAAGTTTCGATGAAGTCGGTTTAGATTTCGATATTTTGCTTTAAATTTCTGTATCTGACCAAAATTTAGAATAGGTTGCTTAATGACATGTTTAATTTCATTTTAATGGTCCTTCAAAAATGCGACGGCTATTAGGACTCCATCTGTTAGATATACCCAAAGTGGTGAAGGGTATCATATAGTCGGCCCCGTCCGACTTTACTACTTTCCTTACTGGTTCTTACATATTTTTTTGTAATAAAGTTTTCGACCCATGTGCAGTTTGAACAACATTTCATCATTGGATTAAATATAAAATTTTTACACTCATAACCAATGGCAGCAGGACCATCTGGTATATGTGATTTGTTTTTCTTGGTATTGAATTTTTGCCAAACGGTGATGGTGTATGTATTCAAAATGAAACGACAAAGTTTTCCCGTTTCCATGTTTCCATATTTATCACGTATGAATGTTATCCAAATACCAAACACTCCATAAATCATACGACACCATGGCCTACGAACAGCCTGCAATGACGACGAACGGCGTGCCGCATTTGGATGCATGCAATAGTTGGTTATGCGTTTTGTTTGTTTTTCTCCTTCGGCCTTTCTCTATTTTCTAATCTGAATCCAATTTGTTTGCATACATTGATATGAAAAGTTATTGAAAGATTTAAACAAAAGGTAATAATTCAACATGTTTTAAAACAAGTTGGAAATTATGTAATTTTTAAGAACAATTTAAAAAAAAAGCAGCTGAATGTGACTTTTTTAGAATAGTTTTTTTAGAAATTTTAATTTTTAAGAATAATTTTTGAAACAAACTCCTGGCCAAATATGATATATTTAAGAATAATCCTTAAATAGTATTTTTCAAAGTAAAAACAATGACAATTATATTATCTGTTTTAAATGTTTTTAATACGAAATTTATTAAGAGCATATTAATGAAACCACTTTAATATTTGTATGTATAATTGACTCATAAAAGATGACAATATTTCTGATGAAACATCGCAAATTACATAAAAAAACAAATTTCCTGTCTCTTTTTTAATCCAGAACACGATTATTTTCCAAAAAAAAAATAAATTATCGTTCGAAAAACAATACAAAAACTATTTTCAAGCATCATCTGATGCCCTCTTTGTTGCTGGCCATTCTTCCGTTTTATTCATTCATTCATTTGTTCATTGTTGTTGTGAGGGATTCATTGTTATAACATCCGCCATGGCAGCTAAAGCTTTAGCCTCACTGTTCTTCATGAAATAAGTCAGCATATCGATGGGCAACGGGAACACAATGGTCGAATTCTTCTCAGCCGAAATCGTGTTCAGAGTCTGCAACAAAAACAAAGCCGAATTGATTATTGATGGAGTCCAGCGCTCACAATTCGACATGGATTTTATTTTATTTTTATTTTTTTTACTATTTACCTGTAGATAACGTAATTGTAAAGCGGCCGGTGAATTGCCAATTACTTCGGAAGCTTCGCGCAAAGCATGCGATGCCTTTTGTTCGCCCTCGGCGGCAATAACTTTAGCACGAGCCTCACGTGCTGCCTCTGCTTCCGCGGCCATGGCACGCTGCAGTTGAACGGGTAGGCGAACGTCTTTGCTGGAAAATAAAAAATAAAATATTTGAAAATGTTAAACGAAATGATAGGTATGGCAGACCAATTAAAGAGTGAGACTTACATTTCGACACGTTCCACTTTAATACCCCAGGCATCAGTGGCCTCATCCAATTG